GCCTCGGTCACCTCTAGCGCCGGCGCCGCCGCCGCGCCAACTCTCGCGATACTTCCGGCGGCCGCCGCTCGCGCCGCTCTGGCTCCCCTGGCGCGGCGCGCGCTCGCGCTCTCCCCTCACGCCGCCCGCTCCCGCTCCCCTCACGACCCTTCCCCGTTCCCAGCACCGGGACCGCGGCGGCGGCGGCCTCACACCGCTTTCCCCCCCGCCGCCTTCCTTTCCTTCCGCCCGCGCCGCCGCCTCGATCACCGCCCCGGCGCCGGAACCGCCGCTTGCGTCATCACCCTCAGCCTTCAGCGCGCTGCGCCTCGGTAAGGGCGGCGGGTAACCGCGGCCTGGCCTCCGTCGGGAACTTTCCCCGAGAGCCGCCCGTGGGCGCGGAGCAGCCGAGTTACCCCGCCAGGGCCCGGCGGGACCCCGCGGTCTGAGGGAGCGCGCCTAGAGCGGGAAATCCCCTGAGGGAAGGCCCGCGGTGAAACCCCGCAACACTCAGAATTTCACTTAAAGGAGATGGTTTCTCACGCAGTGCGGACAATATGCATTAAAAAGCAATCTCCCAACGCCTCTTATAACAGAAATTGTGGGGGGTGTTGGGGGCGTCGCTAGAAGGATCAGGAAATAAATAGGTGGAGTATCGCTGAAGGTAGTGGTCAGTGAAATTGCAGAGCGCAGAATTCCAGTTAAAAGCGATGTCCAGGGAACGACTGGACATGGCAGTCAGTGGTGATCTGTCAAAGGCTGAAGTCGGTAGTCTTTCCCAACCTGTTTCTGGGGTTTTGTGTTCTTCCACACAGCTGGTTCCCACCAGGCACTCCACATTCAAGAGTGACCTCCAAATCCCCGTTTTACAACAGTTTTCATACAATTTCACTTAAAATGACAAACATTAAGACGCCCGTGTCAGTTCGATCATATTTCTTTAATGAAACCCTTTGAATATGTCATCATGCCCTGATTCAGCCCTCAGGCCCCCTACCCCAGATTTTCATCCCCAAAGTGTACTTGGGATATTAATACTGTTGCCTCCCTGAGGGCAGGCCAAGTCCTGCAGTAGCCAAAGTTAAATCTAAGTTAAATGTGTTAAATATTTAAAGTGTGGCTTCCTCACCGAAGAAATGGGCTTTTTCCATTTTACTTTTTAGAACTATTGAAAATAAAAATTAATCACAGAAACACACAGTTGTAAAGATCAGTAATGGCTCTATGCACTGGTACACTATGGATGTTTTGGAACTGGTGTTTCAAACCAACAGTGCCTGTTCTGGTTATATTTTATAGAAAAGAAAAGAGACTGTTGTTATTTGCCTACTTAGTTTTCCTTATTTGACTGATGTTGTAGAGCCCCGGTCAGATCTGCAGCTCCTCTGAAATCACACATGACTTTTTAAATAAATCCTCAACTGGCGCTCCTCGTGGAGTCTGCACAGTTCTCCCCAAATCCTCATGTTGCTGAAATCCCACCAAAACATCCTGATACATGCCTCTGTATGTTCTTAATAAAAGGCCTGCCTTGGTGTAAGAGCCCCACTGTTAAATTATTTCCAAGTCAGCTGGAAATAACTGACACAGACTCTTAACCTTCCAATTCAGAAGATTAATCTTCAGGTACAAGGTCTATATATTATTATATATATTAGATATCTATATATTATTATTTATTCCTTTATAAATAACTCAGCAGATGACAGTTATGTGATCCAGGAGGAATAAACTGAATACTCTAGCCACCTACCTCCAACTTCCTGGTGTGACTGCACAGGAATCCCAAACCACACCAGCATGAGATGTGTGCTGGCAGATCAGTGACAATAATACTTTTGTCCTCTTACAATTTTTTTTGGCATTAAAATGAATTCAAGTGCTTTGATTTTTACTAGTTTTTATTGGGGTGCAAGCAGAGACTAAACCTTTGTTATTTGTTACAATTACATATACCATATATGTTATTTAGCATTTATTTCTTGTATTACTTGTTGTGATCACAAGAGGCAGAAAAGAGAACTGTAAGTGAGTATAGGTAATCTCAGCCCTACAATGGTGTAGAAGGATGGCTGCAGAGGTGGGTTTTACCCTTGGAGCTGTTTGCTGCCCTCTCTCTGCCCCCTCCCAGGATGGTGTGAGGCGGGGAATGGCCTCGAGTGAAGGCTTCAGGCGCAGAGCTCAGGCTGCGGTTACTCTCAGCTACCTCGTATCACAAATCTGCCTTTGATACTGGCTGCATTTGCACCTCATTCCAAGCATCCACTCAGGTTGTTAGACTTGGAAAGGCTCCAGCTTCTTGCTAATGAAGGCAGCCGTACTATTTTATCTCTGCGTGTCCTACTCCCCAGCCCAGGGTCAGATGGAGCACAGTGAGCAGCGCCGCTTGTGTTAGCACAGGCAGAGTGGCCTGTCGGAGACTGTTTGTTCCATTTCTTTTATGCAGGTGACCTCTGTTCTGCTCAAAGAGTGGCGCCTCCTCATTCGGCACTGCAGAGCAAGTCCTTTTCCTCCATTTCACAGCAGCCCGGTTACCCCCCTCTCCCTGCCGCCCTCACTCGAGCCTTTTGTGCTGGAGCCCTTCCAAAGAAGGGCAGCGGAGCTGGGGACGGGTCTGGAGAGGAAATCATGAGTAGTGGCTGAGGGAGCTGGGGGCTCAGCCTGGAGTAAGGAAGGCTCAGGGAACTTCAGAACTCCCCCTAGAGAGGAGGGTGCAGCCAGGTAGAGGTCACAAGCAATAGGACAAGAAGAAACAAGCCTCAAGTTGTGCCAGGGGAGGTTCAGGTTGGAAATGAAGAATTTATTTGCAGAAAGGGTGTCAAGCACTGGGATTGCTCAGGGAAGGGGTGGAGTTACCATCCCTGGAGATGTTCAAGAGACCGCTGGACAGGGCACTCAGTGCTCTGGTCTGGTCGACAAGCTGGAGATTGATCACAGGTTGGACTCAAGGGTCCCCCAGAGGTGTTTCCCAACCTAAAATGACTCTGAGATTCTGCGAGTGCAACAGCGAGCAAAGCACTTCTTCAGAGAAACTCAGTTTTAGACCCATGGGGCTTATAAGATTTGATTTTGTTGTGGGCAAAAGCTGCTAACACAAGTCTGCTCCTAATCTTGGGATGGTTTGAGTGCCATGGGAAGGTGTGTCACTTCTCCAACACTTTGTATTTTAGAAACCCAAACTAAAACATTCTTGTAAATACTATGATAATCATCAAGACATAATGAAGGAGTAAATAATCCATATTTTTTTGATTATTTTTTTTGTGTCCCAGTTTCCACCAGGGTGTATGACCTATAGCTGTCTTTCCTGTTTATAGGGTTCTTAGGGAATGGATTGCATATCACTGAAAAGCCAGTGTAGACTGTAAATAGGGCAGTAATAACTGAAAAACACATGTCCTTCCCTGATGAGTCTGTGAAGTTGGTTAACTTTGGACACTTGGCTTTTTTGGTAGCATAAAGCTGCAGGAAATCATGGAATCATAGAACCACGAACTGGTTTGGGTTGAAATGGATGTTAAAGATCACCCAGTTCCAGCTTCCTGCCATGGGCAAGGACACCCTTCATTATCCCAGGTTGCTAAAAGCCCTCTCCAACCTGGCCTTGGACACTTCCAAGCACAGGGCAGCCACAGGTTCTCTGGGCAACCTGTGCCAGGGCCTCACCACCCTCCTAAACATGGAGAAAAATGACAATCCTTGGTTATCTCTTTCATCTGTGATTTCTGCGTCTGTATTTATTCTATTTCTTCCAGGTTATTGATCATTCCACTAAGCACTCCATAGGCATAGTGAGAAAGCTTGGGATCTGTGTTGCTATAGGACATGAGAAAGCACAACGCGAGCCACCTGCTATTTTGCAAGGTAAAAGAGGAAGTTTATTTTCTGACTCCAACTTTTATACTTTTCCAAAGGTGACAGTGGATTGGAGAGTGAATGGGCCACCTCTCCAAAGACATTGGACAAACTACTAGTACATCAAGTTTCTCCACCCCCATGAAGGAATGCAAAACAATATGTTATTTACAGAAATTGTGTGGGAAAGTTTTCCAACAGAATGTAAACTCAAGGCTTTAGAAAAACTTAAGAATCAGGGCAACAGGTCTAGATTCAGTGAATACTTTCAGGAACTGTCTCCTTGTCTGCCAGAGTCCTTAAAAAGTTCTACAGGACAAACAATGTGTTGAAACCTCTTCTGTGGTTTAATTAGCCTCCAAGATCTGCTTTCAGTTTCATTTACAGCTGCTGGAAGCATTGTCATTGTCAAGGTCAGGGAGCAAGGGAGCATGACTTTTGTTTGCAATTAATACAGGGACTGAAAAAAGTTCATAACTTCTTGAATTTTTAACCTGAACTCAGGACTGCTACAACTTCCACAAGGCTAACAAGCTGATCATCCAAATAAACTTTAATCCAAACCCCAAGCCTGCCATTCTCATTGGTGAATGCTTTTGTTGTCTTTGATATGTACAGTTTTGTCATCTTTGCAGCTTCTATATGTGCTGGAATGTTTTTATTTGTATCATTCAGGGAACTGTGAACCCCAGATTGTATCGTCTCAACACACATACCAAAGGGACTTGCTCACTGGACCTCCTTGGTGCCTAGCATGGAAGATCCATGTGAAATGGGAGGTAAGATAAACTACAATTAGACCACCATGACTTACTTTAAACAGGAGTAACAGAACTGAAGTTGTTCAGCAGGTATGCAATGACTGCTGTCCAAGGCAAAGGGAGAAAGAAGAAAAAGAACACAAACGTTTGAACATTCAGAGAAGTGCAGTTGTCTGTGATACACATTTTAAGCCCTGTCTAAACCACTCATTTTTAATCCCAGTAAATTGCACATGGAAAAGAATTATATGAAACAGATTTTATGTAGCCATATCATTTGCTTTAAATTACATTTTTTAACTATCTGTATTTCTTCAATACAGCGAGTTTCCTGTGAGCATCTCAGGTGGTGTGGCCTTGTGAGTAAAGAAAATAAAACAGTCCAGACAGATGGAGAATTTAAGAGAAGAAGCGCTAGCCCAGGAGAAGTGCACAGAGTTACAGCAGAAGGTAAATTTACATTACTGTTCACACTCAAACCCCTCCAGTCTGAAAGCCCCTTTGGGATCAACTTCTGCCTCTTTGGTGCAGCAAGTCAGGAGATTTTGCCTTGGCTGTCCTTACCCGTGATCAATTCATTGGAAACACACAGACATATCCCACTCAAGTGCCTTGTGAATCATTGGTGTTCTCTCAGATACTGACGGTGCATGTTCTATGAGTGGCTCTTACAACATCATGCCAGCTTTGACCACTTCCTCACAGGGGGAACTGTGAAAGGAAAAACAAGTCCAGAAAGCAAAACCTTTCAACAATTGATTAAATTAATAAATCTGCTAGTGCTCCGTTAAAAAACATTTGTTCTATAATATATTTAGTACTTTGGGAGTCTTAGTTAAGAAATGGGTTAAGCACTTGAAATCCTAAAATGCATTAGTACTCTGTGATCCTTACATTTTAACATGCATAAATTATTCCAAAGGTGTGTTTCAGGCTCCTAATTTGCTTGATAAGCTTTCAAAATGATTATCCTTTGTGAGTATAAACCTGAAAAACACCATGGCAAATAGAGGCAAATGGCATCTGGACAAGATTCTGGATTCTTTCTCATTCTCTTCAAGTGTAGTCACGGGTAACATAAAACAAAGGCAGCACAAATCATAAGATAAAGTGAATTTTTTTTTGTGTATTTCATGTATAAGGGATCTGGAACCCAAAACTCTAAATGAGACCTCTCAAGCCAAAGCCGCATCACCTATATTTGATTATTAAAGTTTACTTGTCAAATTAATGTTTTGCTGGTTGTTTTTTTCTCCTTTTTTAATTGCTGACATTTAAGCAAGCATCAGTTGTAGGCTGCACAGAAATCAGCTAGAAGGATCAACATTTCTTACACTTTGTGTTTTGCCTGGGTTCAGCCAATCCATAATGATAATTTCTATAGTAACCACTTTTTTAAGTAAACAATTTATTTGTTCTGAAATTAGTCCTTAAAACGGCTTCTCCTGGAGCAGCTTGGAAGATCTCTATGCAAGTGGCCTTCTGCTGGCATGCAGAACAACAAGACTCAGGTTGTTTTTTCTCTTCTCATATAGAGTGTGCCTTGAAAATATTTATCCTCTGGGGGTAGTTTTATCTCGTGATAAGGAAGGGAGTAGGAATCTCTATGTAAAACTCTGTAAGACCTTGGATTCAGTGAAGGCAGTATAAGAAATGCCTTTGATATCTCAGAAAGGCACTTAAAGTGAAAAAAGATATTTTTACAGTTCAAAGAAGAACTAGAAAAACTGTCTACAAGTTTTTGATGGTCTAAGATTCCCTAACCCCCAAGGTCCTTTGGAGCCTCTGTTTTCAAACAGATCCTGCCCTCACACTTGCTCCCTGTGTGCTGTTTCACTTATCAGCTACATATTGTGGGTTCCTGCTCTGCTTTAGGGGCCCTTGGGACAGGGTTTTTTAAAAACACAGGAGAGCTCAGTGTTTCTGTTATTTCAGTTGCACACAGCAGGTGGAGCTAAAAGCCGGCAACACACCTGCAGCTAAAACTAGTCTGATTTTAATTCTTTCCAATGCTTTGGAAATTAATTTTTACTAAAGCATTTGATTCTTAAATATGTATGTCCTGAATTTTTTTTTTAGTGGACAAGTAAATATTAAGTGATTATTTTGTGTGTAATTTATTTCCAGCAGGCTAAACAAGCATTTCTAGCTGTGTGTGGCATTTACAATGCCATTGACTTTACTGCTAGCTAGTTACAAAGTTAGGAGCTACCCTGAAGAGCTCTGTGTTCCTCAATTAGTGACCTTTTCAATAAAGAGAAAAAGTGCTGGTGGGATTAATTTTCTTTTTGTCACTTATTATCCTCTTACTTTCTTCTTTATGACTCTGAGTTCATTTATACTTTTTAAAATATCTCAAATGTCAAACTTAGAACTGTCCGGTGAGTGAGCCTATGAATGTCTTGAAAGGTAAATCTGGATCTTTTATTCTCATTCATGAATTTTGATGCACAGCCTCAACTCCGTTTTCTCAAGAGTGCAATTTCCAATTATAGACAATATAATAATTTCCAATACTTAACCTTCCAGAACTCAGTCTTAATACAAATTACCAAGCTTACCTTCAGACATCACTACAGTCTCCATGTACACCAAAGCTCTTAAATGCTGCTTAATTTTTAGTGAGTGTTAAACTTGGATTCAGCAAAGCACTTTACATGTAGCATTTATGTACCCTAATTCCAAATCCTGCGCATCTCTTTGTTAGATAGTGACTGTCACAAGCCAGAAAAGCAGTCCAGATTTTTTGAGTGCTTTATCAGCACTACATCATATCTTAAGGAACTTCTCACATTCTGTATTTCTGATGCATTTCTTTAATTTAAAAAGACTCCCGTAAGGACAAGGCAAATATTCAAGAAAAGTGCCTCCATAAGCACTACACAAATAATATGCAATAAGAGCACCAAATAAATCACACATCATTACTAATCAACAAGCTGAGTTTTCTCTCCATTATTAATTCAATCCCAGTGAGGGCTGATCTCTTTTTTTCAGACACATCATTGTGGCAATTCTCTACAATTGTCACTTTCTTTGCCCCCAGGAACACAAAATTTTTCTCAGTTTTGAGGTCTGGGGCTGCTTTGTGCAAATAGTTTTGCTAACAGTAGATGGCAGATTTCTCCTGCCTGAGAGCTTGGAAAATGCTTCATCGGGCTAGTTCTTATGGAAGGCTGATACCCGTTTATTCAGGACACACCATAGCTTCTCCTCTCAGAGCTCTCATTTAGGAAAAGGTTAGGCTTGAACATCATTTTTAGAGTCATCTCAATATTACCTGAGCTAGACCTGCTTTTGCAGGTACGTGTCCTACTCATCCACTAACCAATCTAAAAACATTGCTGTGATTTGGTGTGAAATAACTTCCTTAAAATATTGTAGGGAGGGTTGAAAATCTGCATGGAAAGATCCAAGACACGACCTCCCTTTTATCGAGCTCGCTTTCCAGAGAAATCAGGTAACATTTGGCACTGGCTTTGACATTACCGGAATTAGGACAATGCTGAATATATTTCAAAATCCAACACAGAGGACCTGGTAACCTTAGTGAGTTGCCAAAAAGCTCGTTAAGCAATATCAGTGCCAAAGAGACAGGAGTCTCTGTCTAAAGTGCAGTCATATACTAAAAGCAGGAAGGGAAAACCTGATTTTCCTTTCAGAAGGGGAAGCAGATAGGTTGCCTAGCTGATAACAAATAATCAAATAAAATAATCTTCCTTTTCTTTGAACACTAACTAACTAACATAATACACAGAAGTTCCTTGGCAAGCCTAGTTCCAATTTCAATTTCTCCACACAATAATTTTGAATTCCGATGTTATGTTGTTCTGGATTGAATTTTACGACCAGCTGGAGTGTGAAGTTTTCTTCTTGTGGGTGGGCAGGCAAAATAACCTAAGGCCATGTCAGTGGAGTTTCTGTTTTGTGATAGTGGGAATGACATGGAACATTCTATAGCCATGAGTCTCTGATGACACACATTCCAAGGTCCTGGGGGAACCGCTGATGTGGTGTCCAAGCCACTCTTCATCATCTTGGAACAGTCACAGCCATCAAGTGAAGTCCCCAGTGACTGGGAAAAGGGAAATTTTTTATAAGAGGGGTAGAAAGCAAGACCCATGGAACTACAGACCGGCGAGCCTTACCTCTGTGCCGGGGAAGACCTTGGAGCAAATCTTAATGGAAGCAATGTTGAGGCACATGCAAGACAGGAGTGATCCAGGACAACTCCTCTAAGGGCAAATTGTGCCTGACCAAACTGGTCCCTTCATGATCATCAAATCCAACCAATAACCCAGCACTGGCAAGTGCACCAATAAAGCATGTAAATTAACTGAATCCAAAATGTTTCAGTGGAAACATCAGAGTACTGATAAACTTTCATAAGATCCATAGTTATATTTCCATATTGGCTCTGACAAACCTGCAGGGAGGGCAGGCTCTGTACTTGAAAGAGTTATGTCAAGTGATACAAGAACATTTGTATTCTGGGATGTCAAAGGATCCATCCCAAAACTCCTCCTTGCTGACAGCAAAGAGGCTGCAGTGCCCAACAGTGCAGCAGGACCTCAGAAGCCATGAGACTTGTGTTCGTATCAGACTCTCAGCAATTTAAGGCTTCCTGGGCTCACCAGGAACAGTGTCCTCAGTCTTGACTTAGCACTAGGCTGTCCTCTCTGTCAGAAGGAACTGGGAAAAATTGCCCAGCTTCCAACCTCCCAGTCCAGGGAGCCAGGAATCTGCCTAGATCTGCACTGACTTTAAGGGAAGGCTTCAGCTTCTTTGTGCTGGGAATAGCTCCAGTGCCTTGACACCCACTGTTTTCCAGAGTCAAGGAGCAAAGTCAGAAACCCAAGTTCACACTAAAGTGAAGGTACCAGAGAAGGCTACTACTACATTAATTGTTATCATTGAATTTCCTGAGTTATTTTTGAGACCTGTGGATAGGCTGTGGATATATGCCTGGCTGGCAATATTGAAGCACTGTCAATATGAGCAAAAAAGGCCTTTGGGCAGAAAGCAAATGTCAAGGACTGTCAGCATGGGGTTAGAGAGCACCACAGAGGAATGGCCTTGGGAACGTAGCCTCTGCCTAATTGATCCAAAAGACAACACCAGAAGCTTCATGTGCAAAGAGTTTGTTAATATTTCTTTGCATGGCTTGAGAAGGATTCTCAGCTTAGTGGTCAAATTTAAAAATACCCCAAATCTAACATCATAGCTATCTGGGCTTTGCACAGACACAGATCTACCTGACAGATCTCTTTAGTTCCTCTGATATATGAGCCAATCTTTTGATAACTTATTTAAGAGAACCACATGAACCATATAGCTCTTTGCTAAGCTCAATCACAGTTTTTGGTCTCTGACAAAAGTTTCTGATTCTGGGAACATACTGAGGAACCTTTCTTCTAAAATCAGGTCTTCCTGAAGGCCCTCAAATTCAGAGACTGAATTTCAAACCCCAATTATTCACCTCTTCAAAAATCAGAGTTTATAAGCACTACACTAAAGAAAAAGAAACAAACCAAGCAACATTTCCTCAGTTTTGTATTATTTCTAGTCACTTCCTTAACTCTGGGAATCCCAGGTTTCCGATACTCCATGTCATAGTGCAAGAAACCCAGGTAAAGGAGAACAAGGGAAGGAAAACAGCAACCTGAAGAAAGGCCATCTTTTGTTGCTGCTGCTGCTGCAAATCCAGTTCTCTTCTAAGAGATTATTACATCCTAGCAATATCACTGGCAATCTGATTCACATTGAAGGAAGTACTGAATCTGGAACTACAAGCCAGAGCTCACCTAATAAATGTGGTCTGGTTGAATGCTGCTTGAAAAACAATTGATTTTGACAACAGAAGAGTACAGGTACTTGGATTTGACTAACTGAACTTTGTTTCACAGGCTATGGCAGAAATCTGGAAATATTTCACCATGCCTTTGGATTTCACTTGTGGGGAAAGGATGCTTCACATTTCATTTGTGGAGCCTCAGAATTCGTAATTGCAGCATAATATGGAGAAGTGGACTATCCTTTTATGTCAGCAAGTAAATGGCAGTGCCAAAATTTAAAATGTCTTGTACTGCCTGCTCCAGTAACAAGGACCTAAAAATGGCTCTACAAACTCTTCTTCTCCTGCTGAGGTGCCACCTCAGGCCCTGACACTGAGCTAAAGAAATTCCAAAGACAGTAGGGGATATTCAAGGTGGGAAATGCTATTCTTGCTCCAGGACTTCATTTAAAATTACTATATTTTCTTTTTTCAAAGTTCTGAGAGCTTTATATTAAGAGATCATTTGCTCAGGAATAAAGGAAAGGCTGAGAAAATAATCACTCCATTTATCTCCTTAACACTTGAGCATTTACAACTTTTCTCAAAGAGATGAATTAGGATCTTCCCAAGAAAGAAACCAACAAAAAAACCCCAAAGGGCCTAACAGAAAAAAACAGCACAAGAGAACAATTATAACAGTAACAAAGATTCTGTTTCTATGGAGATGGACATGAAGGAGAAAATATTTACCAGCCTGGCAGTTTTTAGGTCAGGATGGGAAAACCCTAAGTTTACAATAAAACTAAATGAAAATAAAAAATAAGGCAAGTAAGAGTGTCAGCACTGCCACGTGATGCAGTGACATTGTAGGGGGCAGCTGCAGAATGGCAAAAAGTTTCCACAAGTCCTACAGCCCCTCTAGACATACAGGATTTTTTTCAACTCTTAAAAAAGTGTTTCAAGTTGAGAGCAAACCCAGTGGCTCCCAGAATCACTAGCTCATTTTACACATGCTTGTTTCTGATTTTAGCAAATACACCTGCTTACAGTTACAAAAAAGTCTGAAGCCGTATTTTTTTCAAAAACTGAAGGTTATGGCTCAACAGCCTAAAGAAATTCAAAGCAAAAAGATGCTCCAAACATTTCCTGACGTTCCTCAAAAGTTTTCATTGTTTCTTTTATTGCTAAAGCTGAAGCACATCAAACTTAGGGAAGAAATTTTAACAATCTCTTGCCAAACAGAAGTTTTCAGCTTTGGCTCTTGACTGTACCATATTAAATGGCTCATCTCTCCTGACAAAGGCCATCAGGTAGTATAGCAGAGCAGCACAGAAATTGGAAACTGAGTGCCAAAAAGTTTCTAGGGCACAAGTGAATGCACTGGATTCCAAAGGTCTCTGACACTTATGTAAGAGGAAGAAAAAAAGATCTCCACCAACAGTCCTATCATGAGCCAACACCAAACACAGCACCACAACAATTTCAGTTCCATAGACAATTATCAAAGGCAATTATAAATAATTATTTTATTATTATAAGAAACAATGAAGAAAAAAATATTCCTGAGAAGGACTTATTGAATAGAGCAATGCTGCACCTCGAGTATTTCTTTCCCACATCTATTTTGTATTTAGATACAACAGTTAGATAGGCCCATACCAAGATATAACACTGATTTTTGTTGAGGGACCTTAGAAATGGACAATAGATGAAGCTAATACTCAGTTATCTTGTGGATTTACCTACTTGAACTGGCAGAGCAAAATGTCATAGGGACATGGAAAGTAGAGACAAGTTCTGAGAAGTCTCAGAATTGATAACCTCATAAGCACTGAAGGCTGTATATTTGGATATATTCAGGCAATCGAATGTTTAATAGGCAAAGCAAAACTGTTCTTGTTCCTGCTGCCAAAGGCATGATTTTGGCAAATGGTCATTAATAAGGAAAACAGCTACATCACTACACTGTGGACTTGTGAGACAAAGGGGTAGGGATGCTAGAATGGCCCAGGGATCAAGTGCACAGGATCAGCAAGAATAGTCATTCTTGTCGATTCAAAAATCCTTATTTGAATGATCAGGAACTCAATAGCACTAGCACAGCTGAGAATCAGAACTCACTGATGATATGCCCATGAGATACACCTGACATGGAATGCTATTAGCTACACCTAAGCAGGTCTCTGCCTGCTCTGCCACAGTGATCAAACCCCTCCTGTCTTTATGTTTGTTATGTATTGATGAGTCCATCTCTGTTCAAACAAAAGACATATATCTGAGATGTCTGACGCGTTCTGCACAGGAGCCAGACATCAGTGATAAGAATGGCAAACATCCTGAACCAGAGCAGCAAAACAAAGCAATGTCTGATACCTGTGTCCATATGTCCAGAGCTAGACATTTATTTAGAAATATACTAATCATTACAGTCATTGAAAAAAATAGCTACTCACTGCAGATACTGGCACAGGAATGTCTTGTCTCTAGGCTTGGTGTGTGTCTCAGGGTCCAATCCCACAAACAGAACTACAGGTCTTGAAAAAAAGCAAGGAACAGCAGTAAATAAAATGGAGGGCCACAGAAGTAAAGGGTTTCTTGATGTCCTTTGGGCTGTGAGAGATTATTTCAAGAAGTACTTACTTCCCAAAAGGGCTCTGACAGCTGTTCTTACGATCACATTTGTTTCTCAAGAGCCTTATTCCATATTAGTACATCTCAGTCCACTTTGTTTCTACTCTTCCACTTTGCACAGGTTGGTATGATGAAATATTTAAAAACTATGCATCTTTTTTATTTCCAGGTCAATTACTCTTGGAATTATTGTCCTTTGGTTCCCCACACCTGGAATAAAACTAGTTATCATATGTAACTTTAGATATAAATGAGTGTGAAAATGGACTATCCTAAAATGCAATTGATAAATTCCTTTTTCTAATACCAGAACAACTTTGTTGGAGTGAACTCAAAGCAGTAAAAAGTACCAAGAAACAAGAAACTCAGTATACTATTTAATATTGTTAAACAAACATAAGCATTGGAGTTCAGCTCTCAGCAGTTATGGGAACCACTGGCATGAAGCACAGGACAGACAACAGAAGATATCTAGAAATAAACATGGACCCTGTATTCCAAACTTACATATTAACTCCAGGGGACCAGGAGTGTTCTTGCTAACACTGCACAATGCTGCAAGGGAAAATTCCAGAGAGCTTTCAGGATGCAACACTGCAACTGTGGTGCTGAATTTCAGCTTTGCTCTCCCAGCCCTTAGCTGTAGTTTTCTGGAGACTTCTTTGGTACAGCCTGACAGCATCTCAAGAGCTGTACTAAGACGACATTCATCAATATCACAGTTTTTTACTGCCTTATAGATATCCACAAAATACCTAAATGTGTGTTTTTGTCCACTGAAAGCTCTCTTAAGATTTGAAAGGAGATGGCTCTTCTCTCACAGAGGGATATGGTCAGTAAAATAATTACATGCTGAATTAACAAGCTCTTTCCCTATCTTTTGTTAGGCTAAAGCAGCCCAGAGCTGAAAGGCCCAGATTGTTCATCAGTTCCCAGAATTCTCCAGAAATGTGGGATTTTGCTACAACCACCTGAAAACAATCCTAATGTCTAACATTATGACATTTCTAACGCTGCTCTTCTGCCAGCCTGGCTTTCCTGCAGCATCCTTCATGTAAGAGTTATCCAAATAACCTTTTAACTCCCAAAATAGAGCCTTGTTCATTTAAATCACTAACAGAATGCTGCCTTTCACCTACGAAAATATCGGGAGCAGACTCGGGAAAATGCAGAATTTTTTTGGAACAGCAGCAGACTGTAGAAATTTCATTGTATCAAACTATTCTGTCAACTCATCTCAGTTTATGTAGTTATTCCTGGAGACAAGAACAGCCTTTCTGGAACACAAGATGTAATGCCTAGGCATTTTCCTGAATGGAAACTGCCTGCAAATATTTTGAGCTTAGACATGTCATTTGCTTTATTTCAAGTGTATTTAAAAGCTCACACTCAGAAACAAAAGGAAGGATTATGCATGTACTTACTTAGTCAAATTTCCAGAAAACCATTCATGGAATTGTTCTTACTATCCCCCTTAGGATTAATACAGAGTTATGGCAGAACTGCCCACCTGAGGAAGAAAAACAGAGTAAACAAAGGGAACCTTAAAGACTAAGGAAGGATTTGGAGACTACATGCTTGGCTCTACCACGTGGGTACTCACAAAGCAGAGTTGCAAGGCAGCACACAACCTCCAGTTGGGTGGGTTGATATCCACACACTGGGGACATAAATTAATTAAAATAAATCATAGTCTGGGAAGCTACATCACTTTGCACTCAGCAAAGATACAACCTTGTACTTGTTTGGGAATTTTTGAAGCATCTCACTGGGTGTCCTAGAAAAGTAATTTTGATTTATTCCATGTCCTGGGGCTCTGTGCAAACTGCACATTTTTCTTGTGTCTAATCTTCTAAATTACTGGCTAATCAATGGGAAATTTTCCAGAGATGAGAGCAATGTTTAATTAAGAGATTTTTCTTGGGAGGATGTCAGTACAAATGAGAAATTGCTAAAATTCTGGAAATTAGAGCTCTTGCATATATTTACCCATGTGTTTGGCTGTTTTCCGGATATCAGTGAACAGCAGTACCCACAGAAAACCAGAGCAGGACCTAACAAATTCAGGTGCTCAAATCAGCCAGAGCTGTCTAGATTAGCCAGCTCACCTCAATAAAGTGATTTAAAATTAAAATTCTCTAATTTCAAGTGGACCGAATCCTCTCTGGGTGCACTGTTGCTATACAATAACAACATGCTTTACTTTTGAACAAATAGTAGCAAAAAAAAAAGTCTATAGGATTAGCCCTGATGACCTTTTTGTCTGATGCCTTGAACTCCTTGTTTGTCATTTGATAAGGAAATTTACGCAAGACTTTATCTTTTTTGGGTGCTGAGAGGTTCAACCTCTTCAGGACGAACAGGCCCATAGTAACAACACAGAATAAATAACTAATATCAAATTAATTTTTTGTCAAGGTGAAGTTTCGTAATCTTCTTCAGGCCAAATGGCACGCCACAAATGCCAGCTCAAGAGTTAATATTTTACAAGCACAGGTAGTGAAGGGTATATAAGCAAATGTTCTTCCCTCAATCTTCCTAGCATTTTTGAGCAGCTTTGCTCACATCATAATCCGAAACCATGAAGTGGCTAGGATTCATTTCGTTAATTCTTCTCCTGAGCTCTGCCAGATCCAGGAATCTGCAAAGAACTGCACGAGATGCAGGTAAGAAAGGACTAATTAGTTATCTTGGAAGTCTTTGTTCTATTAATTTAATGTCTTGAATACGGTTTCACAAACGATTTGTGGGATCCTGATCTATGCTGAACAGAAAAATATGATTGACTAGAAAAGAAAGAGACAGTGGGGAGATGGGTAGGACACTTAGGACAATTGAACTGGGCAAGTTAAGTGTGGTGCCATCCCTCAGCAACATCTGTGTGGTGCATGAACAATGTCAATGAGTCAGGATCTGTTCCTTTCAAGCATGGAAAAAGGAGCTGCACTGTGCTTTTGGAAGTTTTGTCTTTTGACAAGTTAGTAACTTAGCATTCAGAAGAAGAAGGTTTGCTCTAACCAAACTGCAGCTGCACTGCTTTATTTGCAGCATCTGGAGGTGGTGGTTACCCAAAGGACACCTCTGCTAACCCTAAATATTAAGTCCCAACAGTCATTTTGAATATCTGAATTAAGCAGCTGCTTAGAGAGGTAAATATTCTATTAGGACCATAAAAATCACAGGCTTGGGTTCCCTCAGAAAGAGAAGCAAACCTAAGAGTTAGGTACCTGTAGACAAATGAACAAGCAAAAGTTAAATTTCTTAAGTTTTTAAATACAAAAGTCGGGTGAATGCTGAATACTTGTGAAAATCTTGCCCATGGTGCCCAGAATATATTTCTCAGGGTCCAGCACAGCCAGTGTGACAATGAGCATCACTGCTCCCTTTGTTTTTCTTCCTAGACCACAAGAGTCCGATTGCCCACCGCTTCAACGACCTGAAGGAAGAGACATTTAAGGCAGTGTAAGTGAACGTTCAGCTTCCACCTTCTGATTGTTTTTTTTGTCTCTCTTGATATTGTACCAAAAAGGGAAAGTAAGACACACTGTATGAGCTCACAGGGAGTGTGCATTCTCACTAAAACACTGACTTAGCCTTTTACTGCTACTGCAAAACCTAGAAATATTTTAAGACCTGCAAACGTCACAAGGACTTTCTTGCTCTCTGGGAAACGAGCTCCTTGTGAACCTTGTGAAAAAGCTTCTGTTCCTTCTCTGAAAATAAAATAGGCATGAGGGATACAGGTTTGATATGCCTAGAATGAAGAGAAATTATACTGCATTGGCAATATTGCCAGAAAAAACCACAAACCACTAACCTCGAAAAACAAGGCTGTGACAGGCTTTCTGAGACAATTTAGTGATCTTCATTTGATACTGGTTTTGGAAAAGACAGAGGGCTCTGACAGACACCTAAGTGCTGACAGAAGGCAGTCTGAAGATCATAATTCGTAACAGTGGCCAAATCCAGCTTAGGTCATGGCATTTATGAGTTTGCTGGTGTAAGTGACAGAAAACTCCAATCACAGTCTTTTCTGGTTAGTTCATAATTTAATATTCAAGACTTCTTTAATTGGGAAGGTAAAAAGGTTATTGGGAAGGTTAAAAAACATGTTCAGAAAGAAGGAGAGAGCAAGACAGATGTGGGATCTGGCACTATGCTCTGCAAGGTATTCTGGTTAACCTTTGTGCACATCATTTGAACAAACCATTTCAATTCAGAAGCACCTTGAAAATATTGCCTGTTGTTTCTCAGTCTCATATTCCAAACTGTGCCTCGTGTTTCAGGGCCATGATCACATTTGCCCAGTACCTCCAGAGATGCTCCTACGATGGACTGTCTAAGCTGGTGAAGGATGTGGTTGATTTGGCACATAAGTGTGTGGCCAACGAGGACGCTCCCGACTGCTCAAAACCACTGGTAGGCAGCAAACCCTTCACTACTGTATTTCTCCTCTCTCTGTGGAGCTGCCACGATCACCCTCCTTGAGGACTTACCTGAACCTTTCCGGTGTGGCTGTTGTCACAGCCAGTGCTCAGATCTTAGTGCTTAAACAAAGAATTTGGTTTTGTCAGGTTTTAAACCTCTGCCTTTAAGTAGTGCCTAATGATCCATGGATCCCTATGTTGGATACCAAATACCACACTTTGGCACATTCAGCTAAGCATTGCCTGAAAATAAATGGTAGCACTGAGTACAAAACCCCAGCTGTGAAGTACTGGCCTAATTCTAGGTATTAAAGTGACCCGAGTGTGATTTTCACACTGGGATGACTTGAAAAGGTGTGTGTGCTAATTTAAGGCATTTAGTTTATGAGGGTTTAAAGAAATTCCTCTAAAATGAAGTAACGAACGAAGTTTGCAGGTATTTAGGATTGCTGGACATCCAACACTTTGAGCTAGACATAAGTTCTCCCTCAAGGTTTTCATCAAATCCCGCTTCAATTCATCTGAAAATTCAGTTTAGTCAGATTATAAGTAAAAGGAGATCACTGTCTTGCACAGAGTATTTTAAATTATAATTAACTTTTTTCAGTAAAGCACTGAAACAGTTTTGATACTGGACTACATAAAATAAAATTTTATGAAATTAATGAAAAACAGTAGACTAATTTGATTTATGGTCTAAATCTTCTTCAGTAACAATGTATTTATTATTCAGCCTGGCTTTTCTTTCGCAGGTAAACAGACAACACATTGCACTGTCTATGTATAAGCACTAGTTCTGACCCTCACATCTCCCTTTACAGCCCGCCGTTTTCCTGGATGAAATCTGCAAAGTGGAAAAGCTCCGCGACTCATACGGTGACATGGCTGACTGCTGTGGTAAAGCTGATCCCGAAAGAAACCAGTGCTTCCTGTCTTTCAAAGTTCAGCAACCAGACTTCGTTGCACCCTACCAGAGACCAGCTGCTGATGTGATCTGCAAAGACTACAAGGACAATCGGGTGCAGCTCCTGGGAAAGTAAGGAAAATGGCCACTGGTACTTTCTTATCCTGATCACATTTTCTCATTTCATGCAAGAGCAGGTTTCTGCATTCCCAACAGGTGTTAAGGATCACATTTTATACAACTTGGATGACCTTTCTTCCCCAAACCTGCTGAAAAATTACAGTGTTTCCAATATTGATTTAATAACTTATTTGCTCCAGCTTCCCACTACTCTTAGTGTAATTGGCAAAAAGGAGGAAAGATAAGAGCAAAAAGAATAAAAATTGGCAATAAAATGTTGGTGAAAGGGCCATAGATGAATTTTTCACACTAAAATCCAGAACTTTCAAATATTTGACAACACAGTTTTAAAAAGCAGATGGCCATCAAACCAGATGGCTGACAACATCAGGAGTTCACCCTTCCCTGACAGTTACCGAGTCCTGCCTTGGGAAGGGTGGGATTTAGCAGAGCATTTCCAATCAGCAAGCATTATGTCTCAAAAGCAGATTACTAAACTAGATTTCTAAAGTAAATTTCTAAACTAGAAAAAAAGTTAGAGAAGTTGCAAGAGGTTTAAGGCCATTTGCTGTTGTCACTGGAACATGGAACTAATGCATCCCTTTTCCTTCTAGTTTCGTCTATACTGTTGCAAGAAGAAACCCCTTCCTGCACGCCCCAGCAGTTCTGGGTCTGGCTGCTGAGTATGAAAAGGCACTTAAAACCTGTTGCACAGAGAGTGATGTTGGTGCTTGCTTGGATGAAAAGGTACAGCAGCTTCGTCTCTGTGGATAAACACTAAGCAACTGAGTGAGAAACAGGCAGAATTTTCCTGTTCATGCAAAGCTTTGCATGAAGAACTTGGAGAGACAGGTCAGGATTAATCCTATCCATTGGATGTAATCAGTTTAATGTGACAATGTGTGTCCTGTTACCACAGGCAGCTGTCATCAAGGAAAGAGCCAAGAAGATTAATGTGCACCAGCAGCATGGATGTAGAGTCCTCCACAAGTATGGCGAGAGGACTTTCCAAGCAAGGTAAGTTCCCATCACTTTTTTTGATAAAATGTAGGCTTGTCAGCCTGTGAGAGAGACCTAGCTCAGCTGTGAAAGTTGCAGAGCAATTAAACCATCTCTGGAACCAGTCCAGAAGATGGAGAATTAAATGTTGGAATGTCCCTCAGAACCAGAGATCACAGTGTACTTAAACCCCACTTTTGCCAAAGCTGTACCCCATTCCAGTGCCTACAGGTTTCAGTGATGGACACATCACTTCTCAGCAGAGTAAGGTGCTAGTTTGAACCTTTAGCCAACCAAAAAGATTTGGCAGAATCCCAGTTGTTAAAACATTTGCTTGTAAGATAAAGAAAAGTTTTTACAATTTAATAACTGGATCAGCTGTTGGGGCACAGAGAGGTGCTTTGATTCTATGGCCAGTCTGATACACTAACATTTACTGGGATTATCTTATAGACATATTCAGCTTTCACTTAAAGGTATAATCAGGACTACATATATCTGTGCCAAGCAATTTGGAGCACTGACCAGTTATTCAACAGTGATGGGGAATACTACGTGTGATTCTTACAGTTCAGGCAGAACAGAAGAACCACAGACTTGCTCCTCGCTGGCTTTACTCGTGCAGATGTTGATGCCCTTTTTTCTTTAGCCACCAGAAATTGGATGAGAAGAATGAGTATTTTCTTGAAACAATCCTAACCTACCTTATCATGTGTTAGTGATTTGCAAGGTTTCTGTTCCCTACAGTGCTTTAGAACAAGTGTCTTTTTCTCCTTTTCTGTGCAGTAAACTTGTTCGTATGAGCCAGAAGTACCCCAAGGCTCCATTTGCAGAACTTGTTAAGATGGTCCAAAAAGTGAAGGATGTCCACAAAGAGTGCTGTGACGGGGACATGGTGGAATGCGTAGATGACTGGGTGAGCTCACTGCTTTAAAACAATGTTGACATATTTGAAAAATGTTCAGAAATATAGTAATTGTGCAGCTACACATTCACAGTCCAGGGAACTTAAACTTGTACTCAGCACTGCTGAAAGGTTCCTCAAGCACTGAAAAGCTCAGGACCAGCACAGTTGACTCACACTGGAAGCAGTTTTTGGCCCAGCTCTGGATCTAGCCCTGCCTAATCATAGGGACAAGAAGCCCTATGACTTAAACTTTATCCAGTGTGTTTGGCCAAAATCAGAATATTTAACAGGGAGGTTGTTTGATGGTATGTATTCACTTCAACTCAATCATAAATATAGGGGAAAAAAAAGGCAGAGACAAAAAGGCTGCAATTTTTTCTCCGGTCCTGTCAAGTGTACTGCCACTAATCCAGCCTTCCTGTAGTGCCAATGAATGCCAGAGAACAGAGTAACAAACCTCTGCAATAGTGAGATTATTTCATTATTGCCTGGCTGACTCAAACTTGGACACTTGTTGACCCAGCTCGTTCTAGTGCTCTGGGGTTATATCATATGTTGTCCCTCTATCAGAGCTGGGCATCTTGTCAGGACTTACAAGATCCATCAGGCATCCTCGTGACAGAGCACTCAGTGATGTGCCCTGGCTTTCCAGAGTTTGGGTTCTCAGAGTGTCCAGGATCAGGGAGGGAACCACTCACCCTGCACATGCCCCAGTTATTTCTCTTTGTGTGAAGACAGCATTTTTTTACCAAAGTGCTAAGTAAATAGGTGACCTGAGTGGAAAGAGTCTGAAGCAGAGAGAACAGATTAATTAATCTGTCTTTAAATTATTTCATAGCTTGTCTGATACTATGTATTAATTTTACAGTCAGAGCTGGTGGCCTCTCTGTGCGCTAAACAAGAAGTTTTCTCAAGTAAACTCAAGCCCTGCTGCGAGCTGCCAGCTGTGGAACAGACCAAGTGCATCATGGAGGCAGAGTTTGATGACAAACCTGACAATCTTCCTTCGCTGGTTGAAAAATACGTTAAAGATAAGGAAGTGTGTAAAAGCTATGAGCCAGACCACGATGCATTCCTGTCAGAGTAAGTAGTGCCAACAGCATTCCAAGCTCTTTGTCCACCTGAGGAAATGTCCTTGTTATTACTGCACTGTGCTGATGAAAGAAGTACATTATTCAGGAGCTCTGTCTGCTCCTGTGCCTTTCAGGTTCGTTTATGAATATTCACGAAGACACCCCGAGTACTCCACACAGCTGGTCATGAGGGTTACTAAGGGATATGAAGCACTCCTGGATAAGTGCTGCAAGACAGACAAACCTGCTGAGTGCTACGGAAACGCTGTAGGTGCAAAGCTTTGTTTGCAGATGACTAGAATGCTTGGTTGATACCTGTCATGAAAGAATTGTGTTGAGAAGCTCCTATGGAAGAGCAGGCAGAAAGCTTTTGGAGAGGCTAATTCCAGGGGAGGTTAATGTCCTGGTGGGAGATGAAGCAGTCCATGGCCCATGGCAAGGATACAGGCTTATCTCGGATCACAGAGTAATTTGTCACATCACATTATTTCAGAGTAGTCTCACCCAACTGTCTGATGCCCCTGTATCTCAATTGTGATTCTGCTTGTCCCGAGGCTGACAATTCGCAGCTCAGTCATTCTCTGAACTCCACTCATACACTGAGTATGGCTGCTCATGGATCGTGCTGGGAGTGTGCATGACCAGCACAGAGACACCTCAGCTTAGGTCTGATCCACAACTCAGTCACACAAAAGACACAGCATAAGCTGAGTTCCTGAAAGCTTTGGCCATGAGATGTTGATGTTGATAACAATTTGAAATATTTACTTGATTTAAGCAAATAAATATAAACCCCCACTGCTTAGAAAGTAAGTCCAACAGGTTATTAATTTAAATTAAATTTGTAAAATGTGGCTGC